AGATGTATCAATGAAAACCATGCAACCTGAAACACCCACCTATAAATGGAAAGCAATTAATGCTTGCTTTCCTAGAATGGGTGGGAAGGGTAGAAGCAAGGGAATCCACCAATCAGGGGCCATGTAAATGTGTCAGGTTACCGCAGGAGCAAAGCAAAAGAAGAGGTTGAAATCCATAAAGGGATTTCTTAAGCTAGTTTCATTCATTCATTCATTCATTCATTCATTCATTCATTCATTCATTCATTCATTCATTCATTCATTCATTTACCCCCAGGAGTCAAGCAGCTAAAAACTACAACACAGAAAAACCCTTAACCCAGAATGTCCTGAGTTTATCTGAGTGAGACACCCCTTTCTCAGTCTCATTGTACCAGTGGGCACAAGAGGGTTAACCCTTTCTTCCAGCTGCTGACACAGAGAACAAGTCCTAGAATAGGCGTAGAAACATGGAGTCTCTCTGGGAATTCTTTTTCACTGTTTTGCTTTTTGTGGTCCATCCCTCCACTGCTAAATGGGGAATGGAAAACAGCTAGAAAGGAATGAATAGGAAATCCTCTCCCATCTCTGTCTCTTGGAGGCCCCAGTCTGATCAGGGTATTGCAACATATTTTTAGTTTTGGTTTTGTAATACAGTATTAACAAAATTGCAGGTAGGAACAGCCTCTAAGTCACTTTTGGGGTGACTGGATTCCTTAGGAAGGTGGCTACTCCCTGTTTGACGGGTGTTCATCACTGTGTGCTTCTGGCACACTGGAGAAGTATTTGTCTGAGGAAATGGTTGACTTCCTCAACCATCAACTGTTCAGTCATAAACTAGTCAAAAGGTCTGGGTTTGCACAACACATCAAACCATAAAGTACTAACTTGTTTAAAACAAGCCAAGTTTCAAATGGGTTACCACTGAGTCTTTAAAAACTCAGTATTGTGCACGCACTGCCTTGGCACACTTCAGAGTGGGCCAAGCCCTGATCTTTTTGAACTCTGCTTTGTTGAATAAACCATAATTGTCTGAATTAATACATGACACTGAGCCTCAAACCTTGGGTTACAAACCACAGTGCCTGGTCCGTACAACCTGCTAAGTCGAAATCAAAAGTCTCCATCCTGTTCCACAGATCTTCATGTTGGAAACTCCTAATTGGCACCCAAAGCGATAGTGGTCTCTGGATGAAAATTAAAATGGCATGAAGGCCTACATTAAATGTCCTAATGGTTTTTCTTTCTGGTTATACACAAGTTGGCTGTCTGTTTCTGCTGATCTTCGGGCTCTTCTCAGTCTGTTTGTTGGTATCTGTGGAAAACACTGATGTTGTTATTATTTCTGTCCCACATGAAGGCATCTCAAGTGGAAAGAAACAAGCTGGGGGTGATAACAAGAGCGAAACATGTGCGCTCTTCAAGTGAGGTTCATTGTCCCTTAGTAGATTCTTAGACGACAATTTCTGGAATGTCCTAAGCTCTAACCTCATGTCTGCAGATGCCAAGTGGATGCTGAATATGCATGTTGTATACTGGCTAGTGTTATACTGTTAAGATAGGAGTGCAAAAGCAGTGTGATCCAGGAGACCACACCAGCATACTTTCTGTGACCTCCAAGATCAGCTGCCAAGTGGGGGGAGCCAAAATTTTGCAGCTTTGTTTGAATTTGGTGGGACGGTTTAAGGGCCAAAATAAGTGTTTTAAGACTTAGAGATGCCAGGGTGGCATAGTGGTGAAGGTGCTGGACCTGGAGCAGAGAGACCCAGGTTTTAGTTCATCCTCAGCCACAGAAGCTCCTTGCATGACTTTGAGCTGGTCATTCCATCTCGATCCAACAGCCAGGGTGGGGTGGTGGTGAAGTTGCTGAGCTAAGAGTGGAAAGATCCAAGTTCTAATCCCTCTTCAGCCACAGAAGCTGCTGGGGGGACTTCAGACCCTCTTAGCCCAATCTGTTCACCAGGGTTGTTGCTATGAAAAAAAATGGAGGAAGGAGTGTTAGGTATGGCTTGAAGGAAAGATGGAATATAAATCAGGTAACTAAAATCAATGTTGTCCCTTAAAATTCCTGATCACCCTCCTCCCCTTTCTCCTCAAGCTGACCCTGGCCCCACTCACTTTTGGAGAACAGCTCTCAATCTGTGGAAATTGTGTACCTCTTCTCCAGGACATGGAGTTCACAACTGTTTTTGGGTCATGGCTTCCCCTTGGTTTCTGAATGCTACACTGGAGCCACATTCCTGCAAGTCTTGGATAGCACTAGATAACAACAAAATTCAGTTTCATTCCCATTGATATGTATTTCCAATATGATTACCCTTCAATCATTTCCCGCTTCTGTCATGTTAAAAATAACAGCAGGGGTAACTACCTTTGCAAGTCTCCCCAAGACAGGGGAGGGTTCAGAAAAGTCAAGATGGTGGCAATGACTGTGTGATCAAAGCTGTGGCCCTTTTTTGACCCCCCCCCCCTCAACTGCCCTGGTCTAGGATCAAGCCACTTTGCCTTGGCAAGTGGAAAGGTGGAGTCAACAAGGTGTGGAGAAATGGAAAAGGAAGACGCGTTGGGGCCTGTTAGTAACATAAAATCAGTGTATGGATTCCTTTGAGAAACATCTTTACTGATCATCTACTTCCTAGTAACTTATGAATGTTTTGCCCACTTAGGAAAAGCAGATGTTGTGATCATGTGCTACAATGGGACAAGAGGGAGACACTGGAAACGGGCACTCTTAGAGGTGGTAGAGTGGAAAATGATTCGAAATGATCCATTATAATATAGTCATATTAATCATAAGGAAGATAGAAATGGGCCAGACTTCATCTTTTGAGCAAAATAACTATGTTCAACTGCCTGACTCAGTACGCCATGCAGGATGGAAAAGAGCAATTCTTCCAGATTTCAAAATGTTGCTCGGCTGGTTTTGTTCAAGACTAGCATAATTTTAGGGAAGGAGATGCCTATTTGCCAAAGATGTATAAATAAACCGTGTGTCACATTGTGGGACAGAATTCGAACCAGATTTAGGATTTTAAAAATGTGCAACTGACACCAGCAGGAAATAGACCCATTTGTCTAAACCTGGGATTATCGTTTTAAAATATATACACATCAGAACCATAAACAAGCAATAATTTATGAGTTCACCTAAAATCAAATTAAGCCTCCTTGTTTCAACAAGAAAATTCTCCTGCGGACTGTGGTTTGGATTTTTATTTTATATTGTGTGTGAGATGCTGACATTTATTACTCTTATTTATTTAATCCACATGTACGCTACTTAATAACTGCAGTTCTCTGGGTGGTATCCAATATATTTTTGTGCCGTTGTGTCACCAGCATGACATGTACTGTGCCGTCTGGCTTAAGCAGGTGAGGGTGAAGAAATCCACATTGCCCTGAGCAATGCGTGAGTAACTGCCATTGTTAGCCCGCTGATGGCCTTGAGCAAGGTGTTATCTTTTCTCCTCCTGAAGTCAAAAGACCTAGGATCAGTTCACCAAGCATGGTGGTCTTCACAATGCAGTTGTAGCTGCTTGAGGTAAGAGATGACCTTCCCCATGCTTTTTATTTCTCTCAAGTGGTGGAAGAACCTCATAATTCAGCGAGGAGGGCATGAAGAGGTATCATTGGCTTTTGGTGTGATAGAAGAATTCAATTTGGGCCCTACAACACATCCTAAGATCTATTGTCCCATCAGGAGGAAATAAAGGTGACTGGATTGTTCAAAGCCAGAGGAGCAACTTGGGCAGATAGCTCACGGTTTTTAGAGAAGTGCTCTGTTCCTTTGTAGCTGCCGGTGCCAGCTCGCATCCCACAGCTGGACAGATTTATTTGCCTACCATTTATTAATCTAATTAATGGTTCTGTTCTGTTCTGGGTTTTTTTTTTTTTTTGTGCTGAGATGTTTCTGTGTGCAAAGGGCGTTTCTGCTCAGAAGACTAGACTCCTGAGAATGTTAGAACTAGTTCCTCACCTGTATATTTATTTAAGACTTTAAAAAAGTGTCCACGGAGGGGGGAAGCAGGGAAGTGTGACATAAACACAACACCAGCATGCTGACTTTAACATATAAGCCCCTGAGGGTTTGGGGTTGACTTGATAATAACTGGTTTTGAACAGTTCAAGCTTCTTTCCATTCACATGGAGTATTTCAATCATGTCCAACTTTTCACGTTCGTTTTTCTGTTTGGGAATTAGAATATTTGAACTCCACCTTAGGGACCTCAGAAGAATTAGCTACAGGGCAAATAACAATTTCAGAAGAACATTAAAAAAATAACAATTTTTTTAAAAAAATAACACAAGAGTGAAAGAGACAAAAGAATAACATTCGTGATTCAACTCATAGGAACAGCAGATTAAGCGCACACATTGTATACACACAATTTTGACAGATTATGCAGCCCAGAATGTACTTAGCACAATGCTGGAATAGGCGATCAGGAATTCTATCTAGGTGGGAACATTTCTTGTTGACTAGTAACTGATTTGTGGACTTAACTCAGAAGATTGGACTAGATAGACCACTGGTGGGAAATTTGCCATATTCCAGATGTTAATGAACATCTGGAACCCAAGAACCCCAGCTGGCTTGTCCCACAATGTGGGAATTGTAGTCGACCAACATATCAGGTGTTGGTTCCTAGTATACAACTGAAGTAATTCCTTTTCCAAGCAGGATTGTCCCAGAGACTCCTTAATTAGATTTAATGAGAAGAAAAGGCTGGAATTAGAAGAATCCCAGCAATGCTTGGGATTGTATATTTATTTATTGTTTTTAATGAGTTGTGAGCAGCCCAGAGTCCCCCATTGGGGGGAGATGGTGGGGACAAATGTAATAAATAAATAAATAAACAAACAAACAAACAAACAAACACAATCTTTCCCTACCTATGACCGATATATCTCCAATATATATCAGGGTGGAGTCTTCCTCATTTCCCTTTTCTTTTTACTGCCATTCTGTCAAACTCTTCCTACATTTACAACAGAACTGCCTCTGTTCTTTACAACTGCAGGGCACCAGGACCATGCGCTCTTGAATAGTGAGCCCCAAAGCTATGGGGGTGTTCAACCAAGCAGAGGTGGTTCATCCAGCTGCCTTGGAAAAGGATCGACTTCTGGATGAGCGGAAATGGAGTCAGTCACCAGATTGCGAGGGTTCCCCAGCTCAGAGCAGTACCGAAGCAGATTCCCTTTCTTCTGAAAACGACTCCCAACCAGGGAGCCATTCCAGTGGCTGCACAGAAGATGACGAGGCCAGTAGTACGGAGAGCGCCCAAAATGGGGTGAGTATTGTCACCAAGTGCCTAAGGAGCTCTTCACCCTTGTGGCCCAAGTAGACTTTGAACCACTTCACTGATTAAGTGGAACAAAGGCTTTTCTTAATGTTAAGCCACACAGAGCTGGCAGAACCAAGGAAGCAAGCATGACGCGGTGTTAATCTGGGGTAAATACAGTATCTTGAAAAGTGTAAGAATAAATTCCCAGCCTCAGTTACAGCGAGTTAATTAAGCCAGTGTCTTTTGGGAATGCTTTCTTTCCCCATTTCTCATGTTGGGGCTGCATTGTCTCTTCTCGGGTAACCCAAATGCCTGATCCCCTGCTTTCCCACAGTCTTTTACACTTAAAAAGCAAATGAGTATCCTAGCTTTAAGAATTTACTATCCAGGTTTAAGCTGAAGCTGCCTGCACTTATAAAGGCTGGGAGTTATGTGGGCTACATATGATCTCATTACTAGAGACAATAAATGTTCTGCCATCTGTAGCATTCCCTTAGTTTATGTTGGGAGTTGGGCAATTGAGTCCATGTTCTGTCCTGGGATTCCTCCAAAGGACCTGTTAGCTCACTCTGGAAACAAACAAAGAATTCTTCCTTTTCTTAACCCTAAACTCTACTCCTCATCTTGTCATAGTTTAAATAACCAATAAAAACATATCTGTTCTGAGCTAACATTGTCTTGGGTGGTGATGCCCTTTTTAAAAACTGTGTTTGCAATTTTTATGCCATTTCAAGAAATATAGTAGAATGATAGCAACAGCTTTCTTAATGAAAGCAAGGCCCACAGCGGGATGCAAGCTTTCTTGCTGGTGGTGTGTGCAACTTCTGATTCTTTTTTAAAATACATTTTTAAAGAATACTTTAGGGAAAAAATGCAAACAGAAAAGGAAGAACAACAACCAAAAAAGAGGGTGGAAGAGAGATAAGATACAAGTAAAAAAAAAAAAGGATTTACACATGTTGAAATTATAATTTTTCAGTATATCATTAATTGATCGTAAATATTATATTATTTTAAAAAGCTAACTATCACTGTTAAACTCTGAATGGAATATAAATGTCAGAAACCAAGTTGAGGACAATATGGACCATCCCATGAACATGTAAACTATGATAAGTTGTGTCCATACTGCTAAAAGTCTTTTCTAATGTAGGAAGTCTTTTATAACTGCAATACGAAGGCTGGCAACTTCTGATTCTACCTTATTCTCTTCCCAGTATGAGGGTCCCTGTAATGGAAGTACTGGTTGTCATCTGAAAGGGGAGCAGCACATGGGTCTGAGCAAAATCTCAGCTCTTGAAAACCGGATCAAGGAACTGCATCATCAGAAGAAAGAGTTGAACATAGAGGTACACCTTAGCTTATTCAGTCCCCTCCCTGCATCATGAGATTGTTGGTTGGACAACAATCAGCACCTGTAAAACCAGTGTTGAGAGGAGGACCACACCCAAGCAATTGAGGAAGAACAGAGGGACATTAGAGGGACACAGATAGCAGGGCTTGTTTGCTCCATTGGACAGGAAATCTCCATCACCCAGGGCTGAAGGTGCTCACATCAATGTAGGAGCCATTTTCTAGGCAAGAGATTTGGATGTTGACATTCTTGGATTCTTCTAGATCCTGTTTCTAGGCTTCAGTTTGCACCTCTGCACCTCCCCGTGGCTGTGTTGACATTGCATCAGTCAACACATCTGGGCATGTCAAGATGTTTTGGCACCGTTCTCCTGAACTGTCTCCTCCTCTTCTTGGCAGATGGACCTGGAAGGTGCCTTGTTGGAAGGGGAACTGAAGGAAGAGAGGCAGGAGCTAAGGCGGGAGGAGGCGCGGCTGCAGGAACTTCAAGGGCGTCTCATTGAGACGGAGCTTAGATGCCATGACGAACGGGAGAAGGTGAGCGGCTGCTCTTTGGCAGTTTTCTTATGATTTTTCCAAAACTCTCTAGTTGCACTTTCAGTTCTGGACTGGATCAGGACATCTGGCTGCTTGAAGCCAGTCATAATATGTCCTCTCCCAATTCCATAAATAGAAGTCGATTGGGCTGGTAGATGAATCTCGCTTCAGAACGAGTTGCAGGACAGGATGGTTGCGCAGAAGAGGCAGAGCAGGAGGCAAAATGCCCGCAGCTCAATCGTCTAGCACCATCACTGTCCCTGAGCATCACTTGCCTAAGACAGCTGCCTCCCTTTCCTTAACTTTAGGACCGGCTTGAAGGTATTTATTCCTTTGTCTTGAGTTTCAGTACTATGTCACGCACAGCTCTCCAACTGCCAGTGGATGAAATAGGAGAAGCAGTCCCACAGCTCCTATCCCATCTTCCCCCGGGGCTCAGGATGTGGGAATTTAAAACGAAGAGACTGGTGGCTGAAAAGTTAGCAAAGTTATTTCTACTAAACTGCCATGCTGGCTGGGGAGAATGGGACTCCGCTCATCTGGAGGGCTTCAAGCTGCTGGAGGCGAAAGACTTAGTTGCGTGATTTCTGTCCCCCTTTCTAAGGTCACTGTCCAGCTGGACTGAAAGTTAACATTTTATGCTTTAATATCCCTGTTGATCTCTTGTCTCAGCCTGTTTGTTTTCCTTCCCTTCTTCAATTCTACCCTTTGGCTTCCTTAATTCCCTCTTATCGGAAAGTCTGTTGATATTTTACCTCTGTCCTCATAATGTCCCAGACAAATGGCTATCCAAACTTTGCTGGAAAATTTCTGGTGGTAGAACAGCTTGCGTCCTGGAATGGTGGGGGCTCCATTACTGGATGTTTTCAAGGACAGATTGGACCACCATTCGTCTGGAATGGTATGAGGATTCCTACATGGGCAGGAAGTAGACCAGAAGTCCTCCCAAGGCTTTTTGAATCTTATGTTTGTATGATTTAATCATCTAAGAATCACCGAAGGCTGACTTGGTTGCGTGCATTGCTAGCTTGTTTCCCCCCACAGCTCTATAGTGGTGAGCCCTACCAGATAGACCAGACCAGGATCCAACTCCACAGGAAGGCTAGGACAACTTTTACTGAGAGTGGCTGCAATAACAGTCTTGCAAGTCTGATTGAACTGTGCCTTCTTATATTCCTGTGAACTAGGGAGGTGTCTGTCTGAGTCTCTTCTGCATGTTTTCTGTTTGTTTTGAACTTAAGATATGTTTTTCCCTTTGTCATTTTGGTAATGGAGCTCACAAATCTCCATCAAGGTCATCTTTCTTACTTTCTACAATAGTGTCCGTCACAATATAAGTTTTTAAAGAGCAGATATAAAATACAGCTGGGGATTCTGGCTTCTGAATGCCTGCAGACACATCCATCCATCCATCCCCCATTCCCTATTTACATTTCCTTTCTCTCATTTTGCACGTTATAAATATGCAATCTAGCTTGGTGAAATAGAGACAGGAATAAAAGAAAGGAGACTTATGCCAGGAAGTAAGTTAGAAGTTTTAGTAACTTTCTCCAGCAAGAACAGGACAGGAACAGGGAAATTCCAGATTCCACTAAGATCCTACCAAGTCCAGCACCACCTAGTGACGAAACTATGGAATGACACCGTCCATACCAGGAGGAAACCTTGCTTCTGGATGAATTCCACTCAGCTGTTTTCTTCTACTTCATCTTTATCAATTGCTAGAACTACTTGCCACTTGCATGCTTGGGTCATCCCTGACCTTAAAAGTCATGCAAAACCATGCATTTGCTATTTTAAAAACCAATGTTCATCTCCACAGGGGGAAAAAAAAAGAATGAATGAATGATCAGGGGATAGAAAAAACACTCCTCTGTCCCCTTGAAAATCTACTGCTTACTTCATCTTTATCAATTGCTAGAACTACTTGCCACTTGCATGCTTGGGTCATCCCTGACCTTAAAAGTCATGCAAAACCATGCATTTGCTATTTTAAAAACCAATGTTCATCTCCACAGGGGGAAAAAAAAAGAATGAATGAATGATCAGGGGATAGAAAAAACACTCG